AGCGGCCACTGCACTCCAGTCTGGGCGACCGAGTGAGACTCTGACTCAAAAAAAAAAAAAGATATGTGTACATTTTTATGGCACCCTCTGTATGTTATCCCTTAAGGTAAATCAAATTTCATAGTGGTGATGAGTTAGACAATGTTGTAGATACTATTGTGATAAGGAGGCAATAAACCAAATCAGGAACGATGGCATCTCTGCAACTCTGTTGACAAACTATGTGTTTCCTCTGCTCACCCTCCCTCCAGGCACATTTTCTTCCAGAACATGTTGACATTTTTCATTTGGGATTTTCTCTTTCTCAAACTGTTATGGCACCAAAAGCCACACTGTCAAGGAAACACCAGACAGTTAAATGCTATGTGGCCATTTATATCTTGTCTTTGGTCATGCACTGAGTATGTCTCTTAGGTTTGAAGTATTGATACTTAACTCAGACTTCCTTTGTGGAATGGGATACCAGTTCCTCCTTATCCAGGGAAATGTCTCAAATCCTCCCAAAGACTGGTAACTACTGTTCAATTCATATCAAACCCTTTACTGACTTTTGAAGGGGACACACATATTAGGTATAAGAACTTGTTCTGGGCAACCCCTTCAGATTCCCAACTTTTCTGTCTTCTCAATAAATCCTATTTTCTAAAAAAGAAAAAAAAAAACCAAACTTGTTCTGAAGCAATACAAGACCTAGTAAATGTAATAATAAAAACTGCTGCAGTTGATAAAGTATTTACTCACATTCTATCATTTGATCTTTACAACAAGAGTTGTACCTGTGACTTCCTGTGACTCATCATCCTTGTTTCATGGATGAGAAGACTGAGGCACTGAGAGATTAAACAGCTTGCTCAGGGTCACAGAGAGAGTGACTGATAATGATTAGTGTAGTACTTTTAAGCAAGCAGCAGGATTGTAGCGTGGTTTCAAAGGAGGGGTCCTGAAGCAAGGCAGACCTGGATTTGAGTCTGGTCTTGTTTCTTGGTTGCATGGCCTGGGGCACCCTCTCTAAGCATCATGTTCCTCATCTATGAAATCTACGAATCTCATCGATGAAATCACTGCAAATGTTGTTGTGAGGTTTGGAGAAAATGCATGTAAAGCATCTGCCTCCATTCTGGCATTAAATGGGAATTATGATTATTATCATTTTGAGTTGGAATCTCACTCCACTGCCCAGACTGGAGTGCAGTGGCACACTCATGGCCACCCTAGCGTCAACTTCCTGGGCGCCAGTGATCCTTTCGCCTCAGTCTTCCAAGTAGCCGAAACTACAGGTGCACGCTACCACACCTGGCTAATTTTTTGTTTATTGTAGAGACAAGGTCTCACCAAGTTGCCCGGGCAATCCACTCGCCTTAGCCTCCCAAAATGCTGGGATTACAGGCTAAGCCAATGAACCTGTCCAAATGGGAATTATTTTAATTGAAGACAATGTGATTGCCATTTAAGTAGGCTCAAGGGGTGTGAGAGAAGATTCCATGGGAAGCGAATACCCATTTGGAAAGGTGATTTAAAAAAGCTTCATGCATTGGCATTGGCCTTGCAAATGAGGCTTTATGTTAAAAAGCCACATCTTTGACCATCTAGGGAAAGAATGTATCCATTTCAGTCTTCTTTGAGGATTCAGAAGTACTTAGGAGTGCTCTCATAACTGTGTTAAAACTTTTAAGTTTGTATTAGACCATGTGTGATGGTTGGCGAGAACTATAACTGAGTGCTTGCAAAGCAGGGCTGAGGGTATACCTCTCTGCAGCTGGCTTTTGTGGATGAAACACCACTCTGCCTCCTGGAAGCTGCCAGAGCCCCCTCTGTTGGGCATCCCCCCTAGAAGCTCTGCCAGGAGGGGGAGGTCGCATGGATCAGTTTAAGCCAGGCCTAACTCTGACAACCTCCTGGCAGCAGCTGCCTCCACTTTTATGACTTGCCCTTTCGCCTGCAAGTCATTTTGTGTTGGCTTTCCAGGTTTACTTTCTGTGCTTCTCCAGTCCCATTGCTTCACTTGGCTTCTGGGAGTGCAGCATCCTCCCACCTCACCCTCTTCATGTCCCCGCGTGTCAGTGTGTCCCGGGCTTCCTCCTCCATCTGCTGCTCTGTGTGTCCCACGGGCGGTGTTGCCGTCTCAGGAGGTCAGCCCTCCTGCATGTGCTGGCGCCTCCAGGTTCTTATTTCCAACCCAGGCCTCTTCCCAGAGCCCCCCACGAGAGTTGTATACCCGGCTGCTCCTGAGTGTGCCCATGTGGACAACTGCTGGATGCTTCAGGCTTGACTCGGGTCCCCCTGAAGCCCTCCTCTGACCCCCGCCATCTGCTCTGCCCCACCTTTCTTCATAGGGGGCAGCAACTCAGTCCTCCCAGCCATCAGACCCAGAGC